ACTCATGTCTTCTTCACCAGGTCCTGTTATGACTAAATTTACAATCGCATTGAGAGAAATTGGGACATACAAGGAAGTTCTTCGATCCCAGGTAGTAACTTTGTTTTGTTTGTAATCTACATGTCAAATCTATTGCTGGAAGCTAATTGGCTTCATTATGATTTTACAATTCAATATACTATTTGAGAAATATAGTTATTAGTTGAAACTTGAAAGGTTTTCCCCATAATTTTGGCTTGCGATGGATTCCTTTTGAAGCTTGATGTTATTTCCATTTTTTAACTCTTGCGTTAGAAAGTAGTTTTACTTGAACAGAAGGAACTCAACTTTGTACATGTCATGGCTAACTGTAATACACTGCGGCTTATGCAGTCACAAGAAGTTTTTGGTGCATTAGCTTCTCTAGTCCTTACATATATCAAATGTCTTTCATGCTCTTCATTTTCAAGCTCTGTGTTTGTTGCCTGTTGGATGATTAGTTTATTCTTTATCATGGATAATGTAGAGTTGTTATCTTGTTTAACCTGTTTTTCCCTTCCCCCTACAGGTTGAGCATATGCTAAATGACAGACTGTTGCAATTTGTGAATGTTGATTTGCATGAAGTCAAGGTATTGTGAAAGATTTGTTCGTTAGATAATTTAGGTTATCACTTAGTTTGTTTTCAATATCATTAGCATCCAATTGAGTACTGTCCTTGTGCAGGAAGCACGGAAACGTTTTGACAAGGCTAGCCTTATTTATGACCAGGTGTGTGCTTGATATCCTTAATTAATTTGATAGATCTTCCAGCTATATTGAGATTATCAAAACAATTTGAAGTAGTTTTGGTTTTGGACACTTGGTTTGATACTTTGATACTATATGCAGGCTCGTGAGAAATTTCTCTCTCTGAGAAAAGGCACAAAGAGTGATGTGGTTACCCTTCTTGAGGAGGTAATTTGTGGTGCTAATTTCTTGTTTTCATTTTATTTTATAAACCTGGGCTCTTATCTATATTATTGGAAACTATCCATTCTTTACGTTCTAATACGCTATAAGAGATACTGCAGGAACTTCATAATGCAAGAACTACATTTGAGCAAGCTCGTTTTAGTCTGGTAACTTTCTCAGTCTTGTTCTTCCCGAAATCAATGAGTTCACGCCATTGAGGCCTTGGATTTATGATTTGGACCTTTCTATTCGCAGGTGACTGCTCTTTCTAATGTTGAAGCGAAAAAGAGGTTTCAATTTCTGGAAGCGGTCAGTGGAACAATGGATGCACATCTTCGTTACTTCAAACAGGTAGATTGAAAGTCAGGCTTGCTCTATGTTTTGCTTGCTTTATCGTTAGCATGCTGACCTTAAACTGTTGTCATGTGTAGGGTTATGAGTTGTTGCATCAAATGGAGCCATATATTAATCAGGTTTGTTACATGTTCTGGACTTTTTTCATATGTTTGTAATAAGAATCATTTTAAATTGGACCTGTTGTTATTTCCTAGGTCTTGACATATGCTCAACAATCAAGAGAGAGATCCAACTATGAACAGGCTGCTCTTCATGAAAGGATGCAAGATTACCAACGACAGGTTGATCGAGAGAGTAGGTGGTCTTCTAATGGTTCTAATGGATCTCCTAATGGAGATGGGATACAAGCCATTGGTAGAAGTTCACATAAAATGATAGAGGCCGTTATGCAGTCTGCTGCAAAGGGAAAGGTTTGATGAAGCTTCATATTTGCCTTTAATTTATTGATGGGACGTATGCTCAACTTCTTTATGCATTTTCATGGTGCAATTGTTTTTATTTCATCTCTACGTTTAGTACTATAGACAAGTTTAACAGTAAGCAATAATCAGGTTCAAACCATTAGGCAAGGTTACCTCTCAAAACGTTCCTCAAACTTGAGAGGTGACTGGAAGAGAAGGTTTTTTGTTCTTGATAGCCGAGGAATGCTCTATTACTATCGGAAACAATGCAGCAAACCATCCGTAAGTACTCTTTTCAAGAAAGAAGTTTAGAGTCTGGATGCAGGAGGCTAGAAGTTTGTCCTGGGTTATTATATTAATATCAAATTTTGTTGTTTTGTTTTGTCTACAAATTTTAGGGTTCTGGTAGTCAACTTTCTGGTCAGAGGAATAGTTCTGAGCTTGGTTCTGGACTGCTGAGTCGGTGGCTTTCTTCTCATTATCATGGTGGAGTGCATGATGAGAAATCTGTTGCTCATCACACAGTGAATCTGCTTACATCAACTATCAAAGTTGATGCTGACCAGTCAGATCTGAGGTTTTGTTTCAGAATCATTTCACCGACAAAGAATTATACTTTGCAGGTTCGATTCAGTGTAGCTGGCCCTTGTGAGCTTAGGCTTGCTATGTATTTATCTGGTTTTTCAACCTGCCAATATGGCGAGTCTTTTATGGTTATTTTTATCTAGTGGTTCCTGCAATGATATTGATTTATACTTGTCAGTGCAGGCAGAGAGTGCACTTGATCAAATGGATTGGATTGAAAAGATAACAGGGGTTATTGCTTCATTACTTAGCTCTCAAGCTCCTGAGAGGGTAATTGTTTTGAAGTTTTACATGATTATGTGGCCATTGATTTTCATAGTATCATTGATGGGTTTGGTTCAATTATATTTCAGTTTTTGCCTGCTAGTCCCATGGGAAGTCATCGTCGTTCTGCCAGTGAGAGTAGTTCATTTGAGAGTTCTGATTTTGATCACACTGGAGTTGAAGAACTTGTATCTGAGAGGAGCCTTACTTCTGCAAATTCTGAGCGCCCGTTGAGAAGCTCACAACACCAAAGATCTTCGTTAAAAACCGAAAAGACTATTGATATGCTACGACGAGTATGTGGGAATGATAAGTGTGCTGATTGTGGTGCCCCAGAGCCAGATTGGGCATCATTAAATCTTGGTGTTCTCGTTTGCATTGAGTGCTCTGGTGTTCATCGTAATCTTGGTGTACATATCTCAAAGGTTAATAACAATATTTTTCTCACTTGGCCTTTTTACATGTTATATCTGTGAGCCATGCACTGTTTAACTAGTGTTGTGTAGGGATAACTATTATTTTTTCATGTTCTTGATTCCTCTACTGTTTTTACACATACAATCTCAAATATTTATTGTAGGAGTCTAAAGAACCTTACTCATATGATTCCTACTAGTATGTGGTTTACTTTTCGAAATGGCAATAAGAAAGTTTTGAGATGTGTAAACTGCCAATGGTATGTTAAATCTTTTTCCAAGATTTTCTTTTCTTTGGCAATGAATTGTGAGTGCAATTACAGGAGAACCAAGAATTATACAAATGATAACTTGGTAAAGTAGTTAATATGCTGGAAATTACCAAAATTTGTTTTGGTTTGTATATTTGTATATGGACAGTAACTTCGTCCTGGTAATTATTTTTGTTTATAATGTACTTATCCTATCAAAAATTGGATATCTGTACCAGTTACTGAATTTCTGCAAATTTTCTTCTTGCTGTCTTACTGCAGGTAAGGTCTCTTACACTGGATGTCAAAGTGTGGGAGCCTTCCGTTATAAATTTGTTTCAGTCTTTGGGTAATGCCTTTGCCAACTCTGTCTGGGGAGGAACTTTTGCAATCAAGAAGTGCCTTTCAGGTTGATCTTATATCCACAGGGTAGGGATTCTCTGTTACAACTCTTTCGAGTATTGTATCTGTTTCTTCTCTACTGGACTGTTGTGAGTATTCACTTGTATTCTTCTGGTGAAGGTCATACAGGTCCGATAAAAAACAACTAGTTTTTATCAGCAAACCTGGTCAGAGTGATTCTATACCTGTAAAGGAGAAATTCATTCATGCAAAGGTATCTCTTTTCATGCCTCGTAGTTAGTTGGATAACTTGAAAGCATTTCAATTTATGATCTAATTGCTAAGATTGTAGTATTAAATGCTAAGTTCATAGGGAAGCAATTGTTTCAGAACATCAGCCAATCTGAAAAACACATATTTTGTAATACTAAAGACAAAAAACAATTTTGTCTAGACTTTAGTTTGAGACTGAACCTTTTTTGGCTCGTTGGGATACTTGTTGTCCTCTCTTTTACTGCTTTTTGGTGATCATGGCTTAGGGATCTTGCAAGAACGGCTGTACATAGTGTATAATGGCATAACATTATTGTTCGTCTATGACATGGATAAGCCTTGCTTGAATTCATCTTAGTTTTTAAAAGACTAATGATTTCTGGACTAACTTTTGTCAACTTATGATACATGAGCATTCTTGAAAATCATGTATTATATAGCGAACTGATCTCCTGACTATACTCGCTACTAGTTGAAAATCTACAGACTGCTTCAGAAATGTGGAAGTTAATGTGTATTCTTTTGTTAATCACAGTACGCAGAAAAGCTTTTTGTCCGGAAACCAAAAGATGCACAATATACTCATTTGGTAGCACAACAGATTTGGGAGGGTGTTCGCGCTAATGACAAGAAAGCTGTATATCGTCACATTGTTAATTCTGAGCCAGATTTGAATGTGTTGTATGAGCAAGCAGCTTGTAACTCTTCATTAACCCTTGCCAAAGTAATGCTGATGCATGAGCAGACTAGCCATGACCAAAGCTCAAGCTGCATAGCTGGGGATTCGTTGGACAAGTCGTCTCCTAGCTCTTCAAACTTGAGTGGTACAAGTGAAGGCCAGCAGGTGGAGGATCTAGATGGTTGCACTCTGCTTCACCTGGCTTGTGAAACCGCAGACATTGGTATGCTTGAACTCCTCTTACAGTATGGAGTGAATATAAATGTGACTGATTCAAGAGGTCAAACACCACTCGACCGTTGTATTCTCAGAGGCAAAAACACATTCGCAAAATTGCTTCTTACAAGGTGATAATTTATCTCATGGTTGGATTTGCGGTTTTTAAAACCCATTTATTACATTTGCCTATTCTGTGCGTATTGAACGAACTCTCAGTTTCTTTAAAATGCTGTGTTTCCGCCTTTTTTTTTGTGATTTGCAACTGAAAGGGTTCTATTTTCAGCTATCCACGCATTAAATGGGGAAGGAAAAAGCCCCCTCGAACTAGCAGTGGAGTCGAACTTTGATGATAGTGAAGTCCTTGCTATGTTATCAGACTCCAATGGGTGAAACTCTCGTATTTGTAACGAAACTATCCGAGGCCAAATTCATGAGTGCTGGGATGATCATTATCAAAAGAAACAAAGGTACCATTTGTATATTTCTGTATAATATGTAAATTGAGAGATTGTTATCCTTTGAACGAAATATCAGCAGGTGTTTTGTGGTTTTGAGAGTGTAGGATGCCGATGGGGTGCATTGTCGAAAAATGTCCGCCGGTGCTGTAATCTAAAATGGCTCCGGTGGTCTAAGCCGAAAGCATGCGGTAGCTTTCAGCCAAGGGCTCTGTAATGTGTTCCTGTGAGGATTTAGTGTAGGCCATTGTGTATTTGTACATTATTTCTTTTGGTGAAAGCTTTTGGTGGCTGTAATAACTCTATGAAGCTCAAAACTTCGACCTTATGTTGTTCTAGGTTTAGGGTTTCCGAAGCCGCAATAGAAAATATGAAGGTAATACAAACAAAAAGAATTTATGCTATATTTCTTCTTATTCGTCTTTCAATTGTGTTAAAGAGTTGATTACAAATAGCAGATATGAATTAAGCTAGTTGATTTGGACGGTGTAATTAGAATGCTACACTTTGCACCAAGTGTAATCGAAACTTTGCACGCGAGTTTGAAATTTCGATTTTCTCGTAAATCAAAATAATTTAGAATATTTTTTTTCAACTGATCTTGCATAACATTTTAACCACTCATGTTTAACTAGACTTAGCTACTTGATTGCATCGATTCTTGTCTTTTTAGAAGCATTTGATCCACCTTCATATTGTACAGCGTAGATTCCACCATCGCATAATCAGACGAGCTAAGATCCGACACCCCTAGCTTTCGAGAGCATTTTCAAGCATTTTACACATTTGGACAAAGCCACTAAGCAGCACTTGCCATCGAGAATATGGAGTTTTGAGCTCATTCAATTGATTGGCTTATGAATTCTAATGCCTTTTCCGTGAGTGAAAACTGTCCGTTTTCCGTCCTTCAATCGTGTATGTCATTGTCGTGGACTGGACCAGTAAATGTAAACATAATTTGCTAAGGGGACAAGGCAATCAAATATACAGATTTTTGGATCACCAAATTTCATCCATGTCAGAGTAAAATACAAAGTTTGTGAAATGAAGTGTCAAATGTGTTGCAGTGGCACTGACTTTTTCTGAAGGTCAGGGATGATGATGTTACGCTAGCTCTTGGAGAGTCAAATGTAGCAAGTAGGCCAACCCAACCCCATCACGTACCAGACAGCCTTGTATGGGGTTTCCCTCCAAGTCAAATGTAGCAACTAAACCAATAAGCCCTATGAGTTCGTTTGTTAAGTTGGAAGAAATTGCGCCCTATGAGAAGATGAGACTAGTAAGACATGATTTATAATTTATATGTAAGAATAAGTTAAATAATTTACTCTGTTGTGGATTCATAACTTATCATGTCTAATTTAGTTCTATTTATCTCACATTTTGACATAACAAATAAAAGATTAGACTCAAATAGGCCATTTATGTTACTCGTTAGCTAATTATGATTTTTTTTGAATTGCAACAATTAGTAACCTAGATATGTAAAAACCGCGACAATTCAAAATACGAAGGCTATAACAAACTCAAACTATAGCGAATAAAATTATAACTTTTCTTGCAATTTTGGATATGACAGTATGACAAAATGCAATAGTCAGACACTCTCACAAAGAAATGAGCTTGACTTTATGAGTATCATTCCACTCCATCTACGTACGATTGCAGTTCACACGAGCCCACGATAGTATGAGCAGCAACAAGAACTTTCGTCTATGACAATACATACACACCACCGTGTGTTTTATACTAATGATAAAATGAGAGACTCACGCATCGATACATACCATCAAAGTAACCACATACTCGTTATTCTAAAAGTTGTCCAGTTGACAAGCTGGCCTAGTGGATTCTTTATCCAGCGACTGATGGTGCTAACTCATAACTCAACTGCCATGACTCATGAGTAATAATAGTGTAATACTTTGTTGATTTATGACACAAAACATGATAAGGAAGCATAATTCCAATTAAAAAAAAGGGTTTTTATTTTTTTGCATTACCCCACAAAAATGTTGAATGGAGTATCCCCACATTAAAATTAATATTAAAATGACTCTATATTTACCCCATTATGCAATGACATTTATGACACTTATTATTTGGTTTCAAAAAATAAATAAAAATTCATCTAAATACACCCCAAACACTAAAAACCCAAACCCAACGAACTCTCTCAACTATCACAACTCTCCCACCCTCATTGTTGAAAAAACTCTAACCAATGAAACTCAAAAATTCAAACATTTGATTGAGGATAAGAAAATTGCTTTGCACCACGATATCTTAAATTCGAACTCTTTTCGGAAGACTTCACATGAGAATAAGCCTTTAATATGTTTTCATTTATGGTTAGAAGTAAATCTTATTTGACGGTCGATAAACTCAAATCATTGAGTTCGTATGTGCTTATAAACTTCTATATCCAGTCGAAACGATAATGAAGTGCCATGATTAGTCCTTGTCTCATTGTTTATTTCCCCACCTGGCAGAATCCAAAACCATTTTATTCTTTAACCCCCGGTCTACTCTTTGCTCTGTGGATTGACGACAATTCTGGGTGTTGGAGTTTCGCATCTTTTCATAGTAAATTACACGCCCTTCGATAAAAATGTTATAAACAGTGTTTCTTGTAATTTATCTGTTTTACTCCTCTTCATTCCTTCTAGATTTGAGATAGAAATACCTAGAGACCAAATCTTATTACCTTCTCCTCTTGGAGTTCAGTTCAGAGAAGAGGAAGATATAGAACAATGAGTGTGTTGGTCACTTCACTAATATGATCTATACCATTGCATTTATTTGTTAAACCTTTGAACTCCCCCAGTGACAATCACCGCAGAGAAGTGTCTAGATTGTGCTGTGATTTTCTAGTGTCTTGAGTCCCTAAATTTTGGGTGAAATTTTAATTTGTCTCCATAGTGGTGTGTAAGGTTTTCGGAGTTACACATAATCCACTTTTTGAATTTGGAGGATATAAATTTCCCAGGAAATGAGGGTGGATGTACGCAACAGGCCAAACTGTCTAATTGATTTGTATTCTCTTTGTTTTTATCCATGAGCATTTTGGGTTATTATCTAGCTCCCTATTTTTTTCCTTTACCAAAAAGAAAGTCACTCTGCCTATTGATATTGAGTTGTATGTTCTTAACAAATAATTGAGGTGTATGATTCTTAGTAAATAAATGAGGATTTGATAATAATTTTTGGTGTATTTAATAGGATAGCATACAAGGCAATACCTCTATAGGGGACACTGAGGTTTGCAACAACGAGCGTCGTTGATTACACAAACGCATTTAAAACTGATGAGGTAACTATATTTAGCATATTGAGTGCTATCTGTGAATTTCATGGAAACTCTTGCATTCTTTTATGCAGCTAGTGCATTAGGTTCAAATAGGAAAAAAGGCATATGGTTGGAAAACTAGCATGATCTAAAACATTTGTTATGTCATGGAATAACTTTGAGTACAGGTGTTCAAAAGATAAAAAATGATTTGCTTGTTGGACTCGCACCCAAAAAAAAGGTATAAATATTGTCATTTAAGAGGTATCTTTGTAGGAGAAGAGAGCTCGAATAAAATTTTGCTTCTGTTGAGAGGACATGGCAAATATCGATCCAAATTGAGGATGCGATTAATGACCAAAATTCTGATGCAAATAATAGAGAATAGAAAGAATTCGCAGGAATACCAAGTACCAAAAATGCGGATGAATAATATGGTTGCAAGGGTCGTCAACGTTTGAGAAGAATAGATTTGGGAGTGGAGGAGAAATATCGATCCAAGAGCTTATAGGTTGAAGTGTGTGGAGGTGCTCAAACCATACTGTATTCCAACATCTTGAAGGGAAGGGCTTTTTGTTGCAAACGACTTATTCACTACTAAAGAGTTGGGTTAAAAATGAACTTTTAGTTGACATGTCTACAAGTTTAGTGGACCCAAAGTTATTTTGAACACCATAAAGAAAAAGATCCACTTAATGTAAAACGATGAGGACAATATAATGCAAGACACTATCATCGGACAAAAAAAAAAGCAGGGGGATCAGAAATGCAACAGTTGTTATGTAAGTTGGCTGAGTACACACTATATTATTGAGCATCATCGAAGTATTGTGTTGATAATGTTGTTAGTGACTTGTTTTGGACTCACCCAATAAATGTCGATATCTTACATTGTTTCCACAATTATTTCATTGTGATTGCACGTACAAGACTAATAGCATCGTTTCCACTCCTGGAGATTGTAGGGGTAACTTCAACTAATATTACATTTCGGTTGCATTTGCTGCTTCATTGACCATGAGAAGGAAGACAATTACACATGGGCATGACAAGATTGAAGACTCTAATGAGATGATGATTGTATTCCTGTGTGATTGTCATGACTGATCTGATTTCGGATTTAGCAACTATGAATGCCATTCGTAATGTTTTTCCTAGTACTCGACATTATTGTGTAGATGATAAAATCAGTTGCAACCATTCAAGAGAAACTCTTCACATTAGAGGGTTTTGGAATATGTTTTTTAATGATTGGCAAACCTTGGTAAGTTCATCAACAGAAGAGGAGTACTTACATAATTGGCATGCCTTTGAATCCAAATTTAGTTCATTTCATGAAGGTATTGATTACTTGAAAACTACATGGCTGAATGAGCACAAGGAAAAGTTTGTGGCTGCATGGACTGACACTTGTATGCATTTTGGTACAAAAACAAGTAACAGGTAATTTTATCCTTGTTTTACTCAATATATAGCCATGCTTTTATTATGTCTACTAATTTTTACTAATGATCAGGGCGGAAAGTGCACATTCAAAGCTAAAACGGATGATTAGCTCTAGCCAGCTTAGCTTTGATATATTGTGGAATAATATTCACGCGTTATTGGAGTTGCAACACACTGAACTAAAGGCCTCATTTGAGAAGAGTCGATGTTTTGTCTACCATGGTTTGAAGCATGAAGAGTTGAGAGAGTTAAGAGGTTTTGTATCCATTGAAGCATTAAACATAATTTGTGTGTGAAGCAAAAAGGTAAATTGAGGATTTGATGTTTCTTTATGTGTGTTAGTTACACATATAATTTATTTTTATTTTTTTATTTTTTGAACAGAATCGACTCAGTTTGGTGATGATGTTGTATCATGTGGTTGTACTCTTCGCTGTACACACCAACTCCCATGTGCTCATGAAATTGCAAAGTATAGGAGTAGTAGTCAACCAATTCCAATTGATTGTATACATCCTCGTTGGAGAAAGTTGGACATGATCATTGAACCTTCGGCTTTTAGTCCCCCAATTCTTCCAATAAGAGCACTCATTGAACGGTTTGTCAATTGGTTTGAGGGTCAAACTAATGAATCTAGACGACAACTATGCATTAAAATAGAGGAGTTGATGAACCCAAGTTCTACGACACTTACAGAACCAGTTAAAAAAATTAAAACCAAAGGACGTCCACGTAAAGTTGACACTTCTACTCGTCGTTTGCCATCGGCCTTTGAGATTGCAGAAGCTCTTTCAGGTCATGATAGCCAACCACAACCCTCTAAAAAGAAGCCAAGGGGAAGACCACGCAAATTGAAGGTATGCACTTATCTTTAGTTGTGATGTTTGATATACTAATTGTAAATTCACTAAGTAACCCTTGATTACTATACAGACTTATAGCTCAATTTTACACAATCCGGCCACCCCTACGCATCAATATACAGGACAGTTCCCTGAGGCAATAAAGCAATACATTACTATTGCAATTGATGTCCTTGGAGATGGTAATTGTGGATATAGAGTCATAGCTGAGGCAATGGGATTTGGCCAAGATTCATGGCCAAGGGTACGTAAGGACCTATTGACGGAAGTACGTGGTTGCCCATTCCTATATGAGCAAGCTTTTGGTTGGAAAGAGAGGCGTATTGAGATTGACCAAGCACTTGACTATTTTGAAGATTCATATGCACCGGAACTCTACTGGATGAGCATGCCAGATATGGGCCATCTTATAGCTTCATGTTATCGTGTAGTAGTGATTTTTTATCCCGTTTGCAATGCCTCACATTCCTACCTACCTTATATGTATATAGGAGATGATGAGCCCACTAATCTTCCTGAGATTGCAATTGGTTTAGTCAATGACAATCACTTTATACAGGTACTAAGAGTTGACTTACTTTTTTTGCAACATTGAACATTGTTTTTTAAAGCTAATTGATTCCCTTTATTTTGTACAGCTACGTTTGGCACCAAGACATCCCATGCCACCGGTTGCACAAAATTGGCATACTCTTGCAGTAAATAACGCTCGACACCTTTACGCCAACTACCAAGATCGTGTGGAACAATTTAAGCTATTACCAGGTCTAAATAGTGTAGCCACCACCGAAACGATATGTCTTGATTGTGACTGATTTATGTTTTACAAACTGAATTGAAATATATTGATTGCAAAGCGAGAGTACATTTGTAAAAACAATGTTTACTTTTTAATGGAGGTTGTGTAAGAAAAATTACATTCAAATTCATTGCCGGAGCTCTTTTTTTTTTTTTAATACCAAATCAAAGAAAAAATAATAATTGAATCATTGCGGTTTACTATAGCAGCTTCATTGCGGAGCTCTGTTTTAAGACCAAATCAAAGAAAAAAAAATAATTGAATCATTGCGGTTTACTATAGCAGCTTCATTGTGGAGCTTTGTGCTAATCAAACTACCCGAAATATATGGAGTATATATTGAGAAATGTGGGGTGTATAGAAGATGTGGGGTGTATGTACAAAATATAAGGTGTATATTGAGAATGTGGGGTGTGGGGGTATTATGGGAAATTATGTGGGGTGTATTAAGATAATTTTTAAGTGAAAAAATAAATGTGGGGTGTATTAAGTATGTGGGGTTTATTCAACAATTTGTGGGGTGTTAATATAATAAGCCTTAAAAAAAGTTTATATTTTTTTAATTTTTAATTTTTAATTTATTTTTATTTCTGAAATTGGATGCGAAAAAGAAAAGCCCTTGCCCTTGATGCTCGTGTTGGGCCTGAAAAGGAAGAGGCCCACAGGTGCACGCGTGTTGGCCTTTCACCCGTCCCGAGACACTGGAAAGCGAAAACCGAGCCAACCATGAAACAAAGATTATTCCCTTCGGCTTTCATTCCCACACAAATTATTAATTATTGTTTCAATAACAAACCCAAAAGGCAAAAGAGATAATCACTTTACTAATCACCATTCGTTTAACCTGTAATCCCCGAAAGAGACTCTCCTATGAGATGGAGACTGTCATGAGGTGTTGCAAACTAATTAATTACGAGACGTTTGGTTAAAAAGTAAAATACAGCACGACGCATTGACTTATTTGAGATATACTCTTATTTTATAGTTTTCGAATTTCATATAAATATGATATATTAAAAATAAACTTGTATGAACCGGGTTTACAGTAATTGAATGTTCAGTCTAAAAAATAGTACCATGTGAAGAGATTTTTGTATGCATCATTTTAGTACAAGAAGTGATATCACACGTTCTCTTTTGATCGTTCATCTATTACAGAAAAACTGTATTTTGCGGACTGATGCTTGTCTAGTGTTGCAAGGTCATGGAAGTTGGTGACCTGATGACAAAAGAGGTGGCGATCGAAGCTCCGGTGAACAACCGTAACTATAATGGTCTTAAGGTAGTGAAATTCCTTATCATGTAACTTTTTACCCGCACGAAATGTTTACTTCGTCTGCTGATTCTATTTGATTATTCAATTCAATGATTAAAAAAAAAAAAAAAGTGAAATGGATGTAGAGAATCACTTCCTAGCATTACGCGAAGACAAATAGCGGCATACTACGGTAATAGATAGTCTCCTTAGTATTATTCTAATCGAAATAAATTCCCGCTGTTGGTTCCTGTAGACGGCCAGAATCTCCTCCCCTCACCAACCAGCGGCGGAGACGTGTTTAGCGTTGTCCTGGCCTTGTCTCACGCAGTTCGATGTTTCGCTTTCGGGCCTCTCGTGATAGCGACACAGTGCCAACGTGTCTCCGTGGACCCCACCGCTTACGGGGATTCGAAAGGCGGGAAGCCCCCAGTTTTGTCTTCCGCAGCATGAGAGAGAAAAAGAGAAAAGAAAGGCAAACAGCTACAGAAAGTGTGTCTCTCTCTCCTCCAAAACCCAGAGAGGGATTTTGTGCAGTTGGGTAGTTTCAGTTTGTGAAGAGAAGGGACTCGCTTTCTGTGTGAAATAGCAAGTTTTGGGACTTGCTTTGTTTTTTTATTTTCGGTCGCCATTTTTTGCAAGCATTTTCACTCAGTAGTTTCAGTAGTGGGTTTAAACTTAAAAGAGTACAAAAAAACAAAGAGTGTTTTGATTTGAAGTGAAAAAAATATGCGAATCGGTGACGAAACGATTCGTTGCGTCTTTTCTCTGAAGATTTTCCCATAAAAAAATTCGAATTTTATCTGATATTCTCCCTCTCTATCCCTCTCCCCTCCTTCATGACTCCTTGAACCTTTCTCCTTGATGGGGTTTTCTCACTTTCCCGCAGAGCTCCAAGCGTTTCTAGGCGGCGTTGCATTTTCTGCGCCTCCATGTTGCACGGTGGCTGAAGCCCTGAGAAAAATAGAACAAAAATTTGAGCCTTTGATGCCAAAGCAGCTGTTGCTCTGAGTATTTTTGGTCGGATTCTGAAGAAAGATTGCAGCTTTGATGTTGGCTTTGCTAATTTTCATCTGGGTTTTACTGGTTTTCAGTTGATTTTTGCCTTGGATTTTTTTTGGATTTCTACTGGAATGGATAGAAGAAGAAGAAGAAGAAGCACCTCGGAAATGAACAATCCAATCGCAAGGCTTCTCCTTTTGCTATTGATTTTCTGCTGCCGGCAAGGGGCTGTGCAGTCCCAAGAAACCGAACCTCCGTCACCGGCGAAGCATCCCCACTCGAAGAACGAGCTCCAAAGAATCATTCTGAGCATCGTGTTGGGAGTCCTGACCGGACTAATTTGTGCCCTCCTCACTGCACTCTTAGTCCGGTGCTTTGTCCGCTACATCAGCAGAACCCCAATTCTCAAAGGCCCCGTCATATTCTCCCCGAAAATCGACCCCAAAACGCTCCAATTAGCACTAGCTAGTGAAAACCGGTTGCTGGGTTCTAGCCCCAATGGGAAGTACTGCAGGACTGTTCTGGACACCGGGCTGATTATTGCAGTCAAGCAGCTCGGACCCTTTTCAGAGTGTGGCTCGCCGGAGGCTCAGAGCAAGGCAGCGAAGCGGCGGATACAGCAGGAGCTTGAAGTGCTTGCTGGCCTGAGACACAGGCATTTGATGAGCCTGCGGGCTTATGTTCGCGAACACGATAGGTTCTCTTTGGTTTATGATTTTGTGCCTAATGGGAGCTTGGAGGATGCTATGAATAGAGTTAGAGAAACCCAGTTGCAGCTCAGTTGGGAAGTTCGGCTTCGGATTGCTGTCGGGGTGATTAAGGGGCTTCAGTATCTGCATTCGTATGTTCCTCAGATTATGCATTACAATTTAAAGCCTACAAATGTTATGTTGGATTCGGAGTTTGAGCCGAGGTTGGGAGATTACGGGTTGGCCAAGCTTGCGCCTTATTTGACTGGAGCAACATCTGGCTACAGTGCTCCAGAGTGTTTCCAGAATGGCAGGTACACATATCAATCTTGGATGATATTCGAAATTCGTAAATGTTTCGTTTTATACAATTACTTTGCAATTCTATTGACGGAGCTATGTAGGTGTATGTGTAAATGCGGAAATGGTAATTGTGTTTTATGATATTTCCCCATAGCTCCTACTAATTTCCTTTGCTTTTAGAATACTTATCAGGAGTTCGGTATTCCACATCCCAAAATGTTGGTACACGTTTGTAGTTTCGATTGAATTAGGTTTGCTAGCTTTTATTTTGTATTAGCCATTTAGCTTCTGCTCTGTCAAATGGCTTTCTCTCCTGCACAAGGCCATGGACATCTCCTCATCCTGGGATGTGTGACTGTTGTGGTTGGGATTGCAATCCGTCTCCAGTTTTTCGCGCTTTTTGTTTCCCTGCGCTGGAGGGAGAAATGCTCCCTCCCAATACTCTTCTACTCAATGACTTAGGATTCTGATAATCATCCCTCTTTGACAAGGCATAGAACTCCGAAATTACCTCGCGATGGTTTATTGATAGTTAACAGTGAAATGCTTGTTAGTTAAGATTCAAGGCTATATGAATGGTTTATTGATGTTTGCCTTAGAATTTAAGCTGTGGGGTTTTGTATGTTACAGTTGCGTTGTTTGTACCGAATTATTAGCTTTGTAGTATTGAAAACGGAAAGAGAAACTCCCTTTAGGAAGAAAGCTTTGGCTGTGAATAGGTGAATGGAAAGAACAACTTGAACAGGAGATTTTTTTATTTTTTTTCCTTTGAAAACATATACGCTCTTTTGCTAAAGGCAACACATTCAATTTCACCAGGTACACCGATAAGAGCGACATTTTCAGCTTTGGGATGATATTGGGCGTTTTGTTAACCGGAAGAGATCCAACCGATCCCTTCTTTGGGGAAGCAGCTAGTGGTGGAAGTTTAGGGCGCTGGTTGCGGCACTTGCAGCAAGCAGGCGAGGCACGGGAAGCATTAGATAAGAGTATAATAGGGGAAGAAGGGGAGGAAGATGATGAGATGTTGATGGCAGTGCGAATCGCAGTGGTATGCCTATCCGATCTGCCCGCAGAGAGACCCTCAAGCGATGAACTTGTTCACATGCTAACCCAACTGAACAGTTTTTGAATCAGATGTAAGTATGTTTTTGAAGCTCCTATTTCTGTAGATTTTGGGGAACTTAGACTTCAGAAGTATTTGCTTCTGCAATCTGCACATTTCTCTTAGAATTGTATACTTTCACTGTTTAAATCTGTGGATATTCACTGTGGCGAAGAAGCTGGAAGTCAAGGAAGTTTCGAACTTTTGGAGTAAAAGTGAGGAGATTAACAATGTGGGGGCACACATCAATTATTTTTGTTTTTCACCTCCTAATGATTGTAGGGCTTTGCTGGGTGTTTTCAAAATCACGGGAAAGATCGTTCTACCTCTTTACCCATCTGAGATTGCCAGCGACTCGTATAATTCCAATGTCGATGTCGTAGTCCCATGTATTGGAATTTGGTGGTGTACTTACCTTTTATTTTTTCTTCTTTTTTTGTCAAACGATAGATTTGTCAGATTAGAGAGCCGGCATGATTCAAACACCCCGTGGTGCAAGGGCAACATTCATGTCCACCACTGTGGTTGAGGGTTGCTTGCTGGTGTAGTTGCGCGTTGGCTTTTTAAGTATTTGGAATGACCAGACATAATATAACTGTAAAATTAAGCGCATGTTTGATATGTAATTTGAAATAATTTTTTTTAACATAAAAATAGTTTTTAAGTCTTAAGTCAATAATTCTTGTTTGGTCAAAATATTTTAAAAATTGAATTCAATCAACTTGAAAAATAGCTTATTTATGAAAAACAAAAAACAGTAAATTTTAAACTCATTTATCTCTCCTATTTTTCTCTCCTAATTTTTTTTCTCTCCTATTTCTTCATTTTTCTCTCATTTTCTTTTCTCCCCTCACTCATTAATCATTTTCTTCTCTCCTCTCTCTCTCTTCCAATCTGTTATGATTTTTTTTTTTTGAGAACATCTGTTATGATTTTTATCTCTCCTATCTCCTCTTCCTTTGTCTCTCTCTCTTCCAATCATTTCCCTCAGCTTTCTGTCTCTCTCACCGTTCTCCCTCCTTTTTAAATTTCATATCAAATAAATTTTTGGGTCTTATACAAAATTGTTCTTAAGAAATGGTTTTTTTTTTTTTTTTTTTTGAAATTGATAATTTTTTTTAATCGGATACGAAACAGGCTTTTAAAGAGCCAAATGAAACTCAATGGGAGCTTCTTGGGCCTTGGCCTACATATGTCGATATTTTAAAGAACAATATTCTCGGGCTTTGCTTTTATTTTTAGTATTAATATAATCAGCTACCCCTTACCTATAAATTGTCATCTATCTCTCACTAACCACAATCACCAACGCCGCCAGCAAATCGGAAACATGAATTCCGGAAAAGCTCCCAAACCACTCAGTAACTGTTAAGTTAGAAGAGAAACATGGGGACTTGAGAAATAGCAGCAAAAATGCAACGTCAGTCGAGTACTACTGCAACGACTACTTTCCTGTAGAGATCTTATCCGAAATCCTCCCGAGACTGCCCTCAAAATATTTAATCACATGCTGCGCCGTCTGCAAGTCATGGCGCTCTCTGATCAAAAGCACTGCCTTCATTGCCATCCATCTCAGCCGCTCATCACTAATCCAGTCCAACCACAAAAACCAAAACGATGGTTTTGATCAGCTCCTTCTTATAAACCGGGGCCATGCCTTCTACTCTTTGTATTTTGGGGATAACCCTAACCCTAAACCTGCAGTTCAGTGCACTGTGCTTAGGTATCGTTTAGTATGCAGACGGGACAGGACGGAATGGAATGGGACGGGATAGGACGGGACGGAACGGAGAGGGAGTAAAGATGCCATTGGATGGAAACGAGGAAGAAGAAGGAGACGGAGAGTTATAATTTTGTGTTCCACGGATGTGGAAAGAGTCGTTGTAAGGGGGTGAGACGGAATGAAAATTCACCCAAAATTCGTACCGTGGAACAGCACGTTCCACCCGTTTTAGGCGCACCAAACATAGGACGGAACGTCTCGTCCCACTCAATTCCGTCAAATCCCACGTACCAAATGGTACCTTAATGCACCACTAGTTATGAAACTCAGAGCTCCTGCGCAAATGGTCGGAAGTTGTAATGGGCTTACATGCCTTTCTTGGTCAGTGTATTACAAGGCCCGGCCTAGGCTTCCGAGGGATAGCCCGGCCTAGGCGTTCGAGGGATAGCCTTGCCTAGGCATGTGGCGTGAAACTGACCTAAATACTGACCTAAATTTTTTAATATATACACTGAGCGTACACATATATTATATTAAAAAGAAGAATATTATTAATAAAAAATCATCCTGAGCACACATATATTATAAATATATATACATATATATTATATATATATATATAATAGAGGATGAAAAACACAATAAGCACATATATAACAATGCACACAGAGGTGGCAGTTAAAACCTTACCCAAATTTTGGGTTTGGGAGTATATAAAAAAGAAAAAAAGCAGCCAAATAGAGACGCCTGGACGCCTTGAGGCGCGGCTCCAGCAACGCCTTCCTCCCACCCTTCCACCTACTCCCTCAAAACCAAGGCGGCAACCCTCACGTCTAGCCTCAGAGGCCGTCTAGGCGCGCCCTGAGGCGAGCCTTTTAAAACATTGTTTTTGGTACCCTGGTGGCCGCACAATAATTTTGAACCCTTCAGTTAGAAAGTATGTGGTTTTGCCTTGGCCTAGGACCACTGCGACCGTAGGGGATAAAGAAACTCATTACTTTGGCTATGATTCTCGGACTAATGACTAGGTATTGAGAATTGTGAATAATTTTTCTAGGCACACCCGATTTGCAGTTAAGGTTTACTCTTTGCCCCGGGGCTATTGGAAAACCCTTAGTGCTGCAGCTCTTCCTGCGTATGGGAAGCTTTCCAAAAGTGTTTTTGTAAATGGTACTCTGCATTGGGTTCAACTCCGTGGCAAAAAAGGGCAAGAACATATCAATATTGTGTCTTTTGATTTGAACACTGAATTATTTGGCGAGATTATGATGCCTGAAGCTTTGAGAAAAATAGGTTCGAATACCTGTGTCTATTTGAAATACGGAGAGTCTCTTGCCTTGATTGATATTGAGATAGAGCAAACTAACGATGCGGGAATGTGTAGGCTTCAAGGGTGGGTCATGAAAAAGTATGGTGTGGCGGAGTCGTGGACTGAATTGAATGTCAGTGTAAAACTGCAAAAGTATTATATGCCAAATTTTGAAAGGGAGGGTTGGATTTGGATGCTTCTTGGTTTTAAAAGTCAGGATGAACTGGTGTTTGTTGACTCTAGTAAGCTGGGAACCATTGCAGTTGTGGATTTGAAGACCGACGAAGCTAATCACATCGCAATTTTTGGCAACAACTACCAGTTAAAGTGCCTTCCGTTTGTAGAAAGTCTGGTGTTACTTGACCACGTTAAAGCAGTTTCCTACTAATTAAGGAGCAAGCAAGATACAACAGCAATAGGTGCGACTTATGGATTTTAGCACTTACACTATTTATGCGTTCTTCTTCCTTCAAATTTTATTTGAAATTAATTGCAAAGCTTGTTAGATTTCTGGAAACTTATATCTTTGTAGTAGTCAAATTAAATCCTTCATTAATTATGCGGTATTATTTCACTGCCCAAAATCCTCCTAGGTGTTTGCTATGTAACTGCCTCATGCCTCCTCTTTTTCTCACTTCTAAGTTTCAGGCATGTATATTTTGTTGAATAATCTGTTAACTGCGTATTCATGCCAGTTTATTGATACATCTGTTTTACAATTCAAAAACGTGTTAATGTGAATGAAACAAACACATGCATATTTAGTGTTACACGGTTACACCTTAAAGTGCAATGAATACATACAAAAGAATATATATATATATATATGTATGTATGTATATATATGTGTGTGTGTGTGTATTTATATATATATATATATATGTGTGTGTGTGTGTGTGTATTTATATATATATATATAAATTCGGGGACAAAATTATATTACAGGAATAAACATAAAAATCCAGAAAAAGAATACTAGATTTGACATAAGAAAATCGACAAAATCACTACGAGCTAGTTACATTATTGAAGTCTTTTGAGATAAAATTGCTAACGTCTGTTGTGATAGTAGGTGATAAGATGTAAGTTGACGACAATATTGATGTGATCAGTAGTGGGCCGCATACCCTTGAAATCTTGACATGCAATAAGAGCGGGTTGATTGACTAAGGTCAAATTGGATCTTTACCTTCCCTTGCCTGAATTACAGTCTTAACTATCTTAGCTTACATCTGCATTTGAATAATTGATGCCGATTTGATTGCACGCATGTGTGGTGGTTCCAGGCGTGTAAGAGGGCACGTTGAACTTGGAAAATACAAGAATTTCATGTCGGAAAACTGACAAAACTCTGCGAAGAATTTTTCATTTTCTCCTTTGATTTGAGCACTGAATTATTTGGCAAGATAATGATGCCTGAAGAATTTTGAACTGTGTGATTTTCAAATATGGGGAAGCTCTTGCTTTGATAGACATTGAAACGACAATCGCCTTGTCGAATATTAGCAAGAGAAGAAGAATGTGCAACAAAGTGATTCATCCTTTTGACTTGGGATGCAGCTGGTGGTTAGCCACCTTCATCCCCCGACTCCGTCGGTGAATTTATTCCCCATAACTGCATCCATAACCATTATTTCAAACGTGAATTCCCATCCCCAGGGGAAGATACATACCTCTAAATCCACACCCGCCAACCTGCCTGTCATAACTTTTTTATCTCCAGACTCTGATTATGCAACATAAGTTAATCAATAAAACACTAGGTAAGTATGTAGCCTATTAAAATTAATAAAAAAGGTAAATAACATATAAACAAATTCACACAATTGTAATTAGCAACTTTCAATTCGTTGAATGATCATTCCACGTCGAAAGACTTGTTGAACAAAGAAAATTCGAAACAGTAAAAATTATATTAATAATTTATTGGGTCGGGTTCGGATTGGGGGATGACAAACCATCACCACTCCATATCAGATTCGGATATTTAAAAGAATCCCCAAACCCACCCATACCTGTTTGTTGTCCTTCATAACCGCACTATTAGGTTGGGTATCCATGAATATCCAAACCCGTGGAGCATTTTGTCATCTTTAAGACGGTACCTTCCTTTTGTGCATTCTATATAAACGCCTTAAAAAAAGTGAGACGATTTTCACTCATTTCATTTCCTACATAGTTTTTGTCTTTGAATTAAATAAATTAAAAAAGTATCAAGTGACAA